ACTGCAACACACTGCTGTAAGAGTATAACCAGGAAGCGAAGTAGAAGGGCAAAATAGGTTTAGCGCCACCGCAGCACGGGAGGGAGGATTACGCCCAGGAGCAAATGGATAAAAATAGACCGGAGGGAAAAAAAATAACATGAATCGATTATCTTGCGGACGAGTCGATACATTTACACCCCTATCTACTACCCGTTTTCTACAGCCATACGTAACCTCCATGGAGGTTGCGTTTCCTTGGACAATCATCTATTTTTCAACAGGACAATGACCCCAAACACACCTACAGGCTGTGTAAGGGCTATTCGATCAAAAAAAAAAGAGAGTGATAGGTTGCTGCGCCAGATGACCAGGCCTCCACAATCGACGGAGCGCAGAGCGAAGGCAAAAGGGCCAACAAGTGCAAAGCATCTCTGGGAACTCATTCAAGGCTGTTGGAAAACCATTTCAGGTGCTGACCTCTGGAAGCTCATGAAGAGAATGCCAAGAGTGTGCGAAGCAGTAATCGAAGCGACAGGTGCCTACTTCGAAGAACCTAGAATCTAAGACATATTTTCAATTGTTTCACACTGTTTTGTTAAGTATATAATTCCACATGTGTTCATTGTTTTGATGCCCTCAGTGTGAATCTTCAATTTTCATATTCATATAAATAAAACTCTTTGAATTAGAAGGTGTGTCTGACGTTTATTTGCTTATTGTATTTCTGGGGGATATTAATTATATGTTTATTTATTTATTTCTGTGTTTATTTTTAAATATGGTAGAGCTGGTCCTCCATAAACCTCAACGCGTGACGATATTATGCTCTGCATCGCCGCAGTAATTCACTCCAAGTCTGCACGCATTTGGATGGAAACACCTGACACGGTCAAAACCATCTGTTTGAAAATTAATTTAAACAGATTTATTTTTTTAAAAAAAAGCTAAAGTTTAATCTCATTGAATCCAAAGGAAAACCATCCAGGTGGATCTACATAAATGATGGAAACAAACAGCCCTGATTTTATGCATGAAGCAAGCGGGGCAGATCTGGATG